CCGTGGAAAACCTTAAAAAGTCTGCCAGAAAATGAGGAAATTGACGAAAATTTTATTCAGTCTCGGAGTAGTACCAATAGACTGAGTGAATCCAACCTTTACTTTTCTCAAATTCGGGAATTTTTCCCTGGAAAATCCTGGAAAAACCTGGGAAAACATGAAGCAAATTTATTCATCGCTGAGCTCCTGCACTTTATTTCTTATTTCTGAGATAAATAAACTCAAATTTTGGCCGTTCTCATTCGTCGTGATAGATATCGGCGCCGGTGGTTAGCATGATTACCTCTCACCCCAGCAGGCCTGGGTCCAATCTCAGTCGGCGCCACCGGCATGTTCTAAGGCATAACATCTCTGGGAGCTGCCTCCCTGGCGTCGGTAGCATTGGAGCTCAGTACGGAAAACAAATCTCGCGTCACTTTTCAATAGGTCCTATCTACATTGATCGATTCTCCTCATCGACACTCGTAAACAACTCGGCTTCACAAATCTGGATCAACAATAGAAAAGAGCCCATCAGCATTTGTAAACAAACCGTTCCAAAGCCCTTTACTCACAAAGCGAAGGCCACCCACACAAACCAACACCATCATTGGATAGGGGAAACTTCTACCTACAAGATGTTGGTGTTGGTTTGTGTGAGCGGCCTTCGATTTGTGAGACTTTGGAACGGTTTGTTTACAAATGCTGATGAGCCCTATTCTATTGTTGATCCAGAAATGTTTCCTGCCGTCTTCGTCGAATTAGATGCTAGATTGTTGCTACTTCCATCTAAAATATCCGGCCGTGGCGATTCAAAGTTGATCAAGGTTGATCAAAATAATTTGTATCCCTGCTTCCAGTTTGATTACATGAGCATTTTGTGTGGTCAGTGATTCTGAATATAAACAAACAGGCAGATAAATTCTATTCCTACTCTTTACTGTAATAAGCTTGGTGGCCCTGAAAAGAACCGTTTTGTTTCCAATGTTGGTGATGATTTAACCTCCGAAACCAAACAGAGTGCGTCTCTGTCACTTCAAAAACGTAGATGACATCCATGGCCGCTTACGCTTGGCGTGTTTAGTGTACACGCTTACTCTGGTCAACTCAAAATTGAATCGAATGTACTCATCTCAGCGGCAAGTAGGGCTACTCAAAATTGAGTAGCCTTATGTTGACTCACTTTTGAGTAAACGACGTTCTCACGTGGACTGATTCAAATCCACTCAGCGATATTTTCAGTTGCAGGGGGGTTTTTGTTTTGATTTTATTTAAGGAAATGAAAATTGTCTGCTCCGGATTCATTCTACCGGAGCAGAAAATGGTTCAACACCATTGCCCTACGCAATTTCTACTTACCTGAAGGAATTTCCGCCCGTTTTGAGTAAAACATTCACCCGTTTTCTAGGACGTTTCCTCCAACATGGTTGACCTTTTTTCTAAGTCCAGAATTTTGCTGACTGAGTGGGTTTTACTCAGTTTGACATTTCTTGTTTACTCAGTTTTTGACAACTCGATACATCGGACGAAAGTGAGTACGATCGACTCACCCGGTGAGTAAATTGAAGTTAGCGTGTAGGTGACAGCATCACGGATCTCATTTTTCAGGAACACCTTCAGCACACCTCGTAAATCAAACCAGAGATACGTCAGATACCGCCACGGCGAGCCAGACAACGGATGGTGGTTATCTTGAAGAATTTTCGTTTGGTTCTGAATATGGCGGTGAGTGTGCAAAATATTACGCAATTCCATCCTCCCTATTCGCACGCGCCCGAGGATCTAAGGCGAATGCCACTTCGACTTGTTTCGTCTACTTACTTCTCTCTGACGACTGTGCTGGGGAAGCAGCATATGCATGTAGGTAATTGGTGGATTTGTTAGTTAATTCGACGCTTTTGGACAATGCTGAACATTTACCAGTTTTTCAATAGTTTCTTGTTGAAAATCAACATTCGAAAGCATTGTTATCGATGCGTAGCCATATTTCTGATCGATTGGTGATAAAATTATTGAAATTGAACCAGGGGCAGCTGAGTTATTAACGTTCAAAATCTTTCTTAATTTGTTACATGTTCCATTTTTGGTTTTCACAAAGTGTACCCCCATATAGAAATCAAAGACGTAGTCCTACGTCAAAAAACTACCTGTGAGCAAAACTTTATACAATTCTGCGACTCTGCGGCCTAAACTTTTCCAATAATAAAAGTAAAATCCCCAGTGATAATAAATGTATTCTATTATATTGAAATTAGACCGAATTCACAAAACCAATCCTCCTTTCTTCTTCTGCTCCTTCGCATTTCAAGCTTATTGCTTATCAATTATTAGCTTATTGCATGCTATCAACTTAGTGTTCTAAATGCTCTTCCACAGTTATTGATTGAGAGCTTCGATGCCTATATCAAATTTGCATTAGTATAATCGTTTGGCAAATACAATCATACTCTTTGCCCATAGAAGTAGAGAAATGTTCCAACCCTAAAAATTCCTAGACCTGACCGAGAATCGAACCCAGCCTCCTCCAGCATGCCTTGCTTTGTAGCTGCGATTTTACCGACTGAGCGAAGGGAGGCCCCACAAAATCAATGCATGATCCACCTTCAAAATAAATATTTCAATTAACTTATGATGTCTATTTATAAATACTCTAAAGCCTTGGAGGTCTTAGAGTGATATATAATTTCTCAAAACTATATATTTCTAAAAGATGTCTAAAAACGCATTTTGAAAAATAGGAAGACTTGATCTCCTTTTGTTGATATGCATTTTTGTAAGGGATATGCCAAAAAACTCCGTTTTCAAAAAATGATTCTACTTATTCAAACTATGAAAAAAAAATCGGGGACAAGTGCCTTTCTCGTGTAATATTAAATAGCTTAATTCCATATGATGGTCACCGCAATATGCCTTGAGTGATAAGTAAGTGATGTAAAACTTAATATGGAGCAGATGGAAGTTGATACTGGGTGAAAACAACTCATAAATAGGTTAAATAAATTGCTTACATGTAAGCAAGGGACAATTACTTGCTTGAATTTGGGGAAATTTTTACCTCCCTGGTGATGGTGATAGGGCGAGTTAGTAGTTTCGACAATTTGATATTTGAAGTTATTTTTTTACAGCAGAAGATGTGGCTATTCGAGAATTAGTTCTTGAGCTAATTTGCCTTCAAGCTGCACCCTAATATTCTTATTTAATCATTCCCGACCATTATTTGGATTCCCCTGGAGACATACATCGAGTGTTTAACATTGGCAACACTCAGGCATGATCCGAGTGCCCCTACGATAGGCATCAGAATATGAAAGCTATTTCATATCACAATAGAAAGGCACTTTTCACTGAAAGTCACTTTAATAAAGAAATCTAACTAACTTAATAACTTTTCACTGCTAGATGGATTAATCACGGGTTTGTTTATATCTCCGAAAATAAATGTCCGATCGGAATAAAAAGGGTTCTATAGAAGATACATACAGTCATATCGGTTCAGCCATCTCCGATAAATGGGCGTGAGTTACACAATTGATTGGAAAATTTCACATTTTTGTTTATATCTCCGGAACCGGATGTCCGATCAGGATAAAATTCAATAAGGTTCTATGAGAGTTTAATATGAACAAAATGAAAGCAGTTGCAGAACGATAAAGCATCAGAACTCTAGTCTTAACCACTTCAAACTAAGAAACAACGAATAGAAGATTAGGAATCACATACATAGATGAAGACAAGCTAACTCAATTTTGCCTTGTTTCAATATCATCCTCGGTCCAGACAACAAGAAGATTTATTACTATTAACAAGGTATAAAAAGTAACAACAATCTTAGTCCATGTGTTCCTATGATTACTGAAAAATCCTGTTCCCCTAGTTTGAAGTACTCGGAATCGGTAACGTACCACGAAAAGCTGATTTACCCACGTTACGGACATGGACTTACTACAACATGTAATTTCCATTTGAAATACATTGATTTACTAGTTACAAGCTCTTGTAGAATTCATGATGCTTCCGGCCACAGGTTTCTGTTGACCTTTTTAATTTAACCAATGTCAACAATAGGTTAGTAATTTTCGCTTAACATATCAATTGTAATACCTCCCCAAAAGCCAAATTCAGCATTTGTATGGTATTGCACGTAAAGTTAATGTCACTATGTGGATTTAATGGGGATCTTCTTAATATGGGCGTTTTAGGCCCTATCTCCCCTACACCAACCAAAGCTACTGGAAAAATAGTGAACCAAAAAAATGTATTTCAGTGAGTAAGTAAGGACGACATTAATTAGAAATTAGAACGACGTATTCATAAATACGAAAACTATAAAAAAAAATGCCTAAGTTAAAAGCAATGCCGGAAGTCATATCTCAACAAACTATATCTTCGATGTTCCTCATAAAAACACGTTAGCTCTAAATGACAACAGCAGTGTAAGCAGTATGTAATTAGCTGTCTGGCGTAGTAGGTATCAACTCATCAATATTCATTGCACTAATAATTAAACCGTGCTTGCGGTGACATACATATTAAAAACCCGCATCTGAGCTATTGTCAGAAATAATTCCAGCTCACGATAAAAGATAATTCCAATAAAACATTTAACCAGCTATCACTGATATAACCATCAAAGAGAATCTACACCATGGATACGTTAAAAATAATCTTTCTGCTAATCAAAATGACCTTAAAAGCATACACTTTCAGATGAACCCACCTTTCAACGTAGCTCGGAGAATGAATGAATATCCATGGCCATGCGGCCCACGTGCCTGACACCAGTGTAGTGGAGTGAACGGTTGATACCGCACATTACATCGACAGAAAAGTTGAATAAAATGTATAAAAGCTCACCCAAGCCCAACCGAACCGCCATCTTTCGGTTACTAGCACAACTGCTTCCAAACGAATTAATTAGTTGAAAGACATTCAATAGTTTGTCGGAGTTGGGGGTCGGAGCGAGCTTTCAATTTGAAGCGAGCGCATCATCGAGAGAATATAACAAAGCTTTATAAACTCACCTAAAGCACTCCGCAGTGACGTGTTGTGGTGAATGTGATGTTCACTCTCTTCCTCCGGTTCTTCCTGCAGCGTAGGGTGGGCTGCCTCCCAGATTGTGTTCATCTGTTGTTTTGGTGGTTGATCGAGCCGCACACGGGGCAACTCGGCAAACAGAACGTCTGTCAGCTGTATTCGAGAGGGAGGAAAACGACATTTTAAACTTTGCGATAGGTATGAGATCAAAACGCAAGTAACCCCAAGTATGAAGGAGAGCACTCATTTTCATGCTTGACCATTTGTTTCGTTTTGTTTTGAGTGCTTAATTAGTGCTCGAAAGTGTCTATTGGAGGCGGGAACGAGTGGTTTACCTTTGCATCTTTTTTTGTTGTTAGTGGGAAAATCTATATCCATTTATTTAGAGAAGCAGCAGTTAAGTGAGAAAATTAAGATCAATGTGAAGGTTAGTTAAGAGGAATGTTGTCGATGATGATGATGGTTGAGAGTCTTACCGATAGCTCTTCACTGCAGTACGATGTGAGGGTCTGTTCATCTTGCTGTAGGACGCAGTACAGTGGTCCCCATGGTACATTGGATAAGCGTGTGGATTGTCCTTCGGTTTCTGTAATAGGAAAGATGAAGAGTAGATGTTAGTAACGATTAGTTCGATCCTTCTTTTTTTGTGGATGGCAGCTTATATTCCAAATGGAACTTTACGTATGTCCTCAACTTCAATCGTCAATGTCATTGGCTGCACATTCGTGTCACTTTACGGCAATGATCCAAAGCTTGCTCAGCCATACTCAAGTAACAATCTTGGATTTAGCATTACTGTTCCATGTTAATAGGAAATCAAGCAAAAATGAAATAAATAGTTATGCCTTTATGGGCAGTACAGTCTAGTGGACCATATTATTATCTTAAAGAATTCTTCAAAACTTTAATAACACTTGCCATGTTGCTTGGTTACTCAAACGAACAATTTAAGGGCCAGCTTTAAACCGCAAAACAAAATTCTGTCTTGCTTTGTTTTTTTTTTTTTTATTATTATTTAAAAATTATAATAAAAATCTTTTTAAAAAAATAGTTTTTCCTCAGACTGTCGCAAACATACGTGTAAAAACATTTCAACTATGATTTTTTTTAAGTATGTGCTTTTGTAAGCAAAGGTTCACAAGTAAATTTTTCGAAGCTCTTAGCTAGCCCACGCAAACTAATACAATCATCATGGTGTTATTTTGCGTGGGTGAACTAAGGCTTCGTGCACAGATTACGTAGCGCATGAAGAGGGGGGAAGGGGGTCGATCTTGCGTAACTTTTTCTTACATAGGGGGGAGGGGGAGGTTATTGGGAAATGTTTTGTAACAAATAGACCAATGTGTAAAAATATTCAAAAACGTAAAAAAAATTACTGTTGGATTTCCTCGCGACCCTTGCATCTATAAAATAATCATAACTGTTAATTGAGAGTTTTGTTCAATATTGAAAAAAAGGAGGATTGAGTGAATCAGCATTACGTAATTTTAGAGTAAGGGGGGTTGGTATAGTCAATCGTTACTAATTGTTACATAGGGGTAGGGGTCCAAAATCCGAATTTTCATGTGTTGCGTAATTTGTGAACCGCTCCTAAGAGTTTCGATAATTTGACGTATGAATAATTGTTTATAAAAGCAGATAAGTTTCTTTTGAAAATACATCCTTGATTTTTTTTTTCTATATCATAGGGATAAAAATTTGTTCAAAAAAAGTAGAAGGGTCTGTGCCTAGGGGCACGAACGGGAGCTTGACGTAGGACCGCTAGGGCACGGAACAAATGTGAAGAAAATTTAGTTCTTTTAATTGATCGATCATCTATTATCTTAACTCTTTCCGTTTTTGATTTGTAGTATTTTTTTTAAGAGAAAGTTGATTAAAAGAATCAATTAAAATCACTTGCACCCCTGCTTCCAAGTTTGGTTACAAGATTACAACTCTGGAGAGCATTTTGTGTGGTCGTTGGGGGCATGTGGTTCTGAATATGGACCAACAGGCAGATAAATTCTATTCTAACTTTTTACTGTAATAAGCTTGTTGTCCCAGAAAAGGGTCGTTTTGTTGCCAAAGTTGGTGATGATTTAACCTCAGAAACTGTACAGAGTACGTCTGTCGCTTCAAAGCGTAGACGACATCGATGGCCGCTTACGCTTGACGTGTTCAGTATAGGTGACAGCATCACGGATCACATTTTCCAAGAATACCTTCAGCACACCTCGTGTTTTCTCGTAGATCAAACCGGAGACACGTTTGACACCGCCACGGCGAGCCAAACGACTGCTTTTACTGCTTCTGCTGTCTGCTCACAACGGCGTCCGAAGCGAAAATGAGGTGAGGCTAGACAGTCCGCATCGTGCTCTCTTGCCGTGCGGATCTATTTGCTTTTTGCTTAAGGAAGTGTTACTACTACCTAAAGCTACAACAAATTTAAACAGCACTTTTCAGTGCTCAACCTGTAAAAATTTTCTACCTTGTTCAACTCCTCTTATTCCTCTTCGATCCTTGTTTGGACCCTACCCGAGGTAATCCTTCTTGGATATCGATTTGGAAAATTCCTCTTCGATCCTTCAGATTCTTATAGTAATCTGCTTGGAAGTCGATTTGGATAATCGCATAATCGCACTTTTCAGTGCTCAACCTGTAAAAATTGTCTACCTTGTTCAATTCCTCTTATTCCTCTTCGATCCTTGTTTGGACCCTACCCGAGGTAATCCTTCTTGGATATCGATTTGGAAAATTCCTCTTCGATCCTTCAGATTCTTATAGTAATCTGCTTGGAAGTTGATTTGGATAAAAAATTTACTGCCGCCATCGCGCCTAAACGCAAAAGAAAGGGGCAAACTCTTGACCCCCCTTCTGAAGAAATTAATTTGAGTAATCAATTTGATTTGCTCACGGATGATGAGAATGATCCATCATCCAAGAAAAATTCTAGTAAACTTTCCCGGCTTAATGCCAAGAAGGAAAAGATTCCCCCTATTGTGATAAGTTAAGTTTTCACTACAAATTGGACGTCGGGGTGAATGCCGTGTATTGGCTGAAACCTTGGACGGATTTAAATGTCTTCTCAAGTATCTTACTGAGAAGAAGCACAAATTTTTTACTTACGACACCAAAACTGAACGTGTGTTCAAGGTTGTCATGAAAGGACTGCCCAGTGGTGAATCCCTGGATCAGATCAAAGATGAACTGGCAAAATTACTTGGAGTTGTGCCACTCCAAGTAATCAAAATGAAAATGAAATCCCGTCCTGGCGATTCGCGCAACGGGATTTCTAATGATTTTTATTTAGTTCACTTCAAGTCTAGTGAACTAAACAACCTCAAGGCCTTAGAAAAAGCTAGCCTTATGCTCCATGTCCGAGTGAAGTGGGAACACTTCAGGAAGACTGGAGGAAATTTTCAAAACCTCACTCAGTGCCGTAAGTGCCAGGGATGGGGTCACGGAACTAAAAATTGCTACATGCCAGCTAAATGCATGAATTGTGGTGATTCCTCTCACGCAAAAGACGACTGTCCTGTGAAGGAAGATCCTAAGAAATTTAAATGTTCAAATTGTGGTGAAAACCACAAATCCAATTTTTGGGAATGTAAGACTCGCAAAGCGATCCTACAATCTCGTTCTAACCGACAGGTAGGAAACGCTCCACGTTTCCGACCAGGTACAAATTCCTCTGCTGTTAACAACGGTCAGCGAGGAACAAATTCTACATTCGTACCCGTAGGTACAAATATCACCCCTGCTTCAAATGTTTCATCTGTACCTACTCCCCTCGCTGCTAACAATGTTCAGCGAGTTAATGGAGCTACCTATGCTGCTATTGCAGCGGGTAGAAATCAAAATACTAACCAACGTTCTAACGGAAATTTTGACAATTTTGACTTAGGAAGCATTACTGCTCCTAAAATGGAATTTTTACAGAATTCATTAATTGACATGATTTCTAATATGCTTAAATCTAACTCCATGTTTGATGCTATTCAAACTGGAGTAAAATTTGCTAATAATATTGTCATGACTTTAAAATTCAGTAATGGATTTTAAAGCATTAAACATTTTAAATTGGAATGCTCGATCTCTTAAAGATAATGAAGACGAGCTATTTAATTTTTTGAGAGTTCATAACGTGCATATTGCCGTTATAACTGAAACGTTCCTTAAACCTGACCATAAGGTTAAGAAGGACGCAAATTACTTGATTTATAGAAATGATCGTCTTGATGGACCCTGTGGTGGCGTTGCCATCATTATTCATAGACGAATCAAGCATAAAATTCTTTCTTCATTTGAAACCAAAGTTTTTGAAACTTTGGGAGTTTCTGTTGAAACAAAATTTGGACAACTTACGTTTATAGCTGCCTATTTGCCATTCCAATGCGTAGGCCAGCAAAAGAACTTTCTCAAGGATGACCTCCAGAAACTTACCCGTCATAGGTCTAAATTCTTCATTATTGGTGATTTTAATGCAAAACACCGCTCATGGAATAATGCTCAAAGCAATTCCAATGGTAATATTCTGTTTGATGATTGTTCTGCAGGTTATTACACTATTCAATATCCAAACAGCCCAACATGCTTTTCTTCTGCAAGAAATCCCTCAACTATTGATTTGGTCTTAACTGATTCATGTCAACTTTGTAGCCAACTGGTTACCCATGCTGACTTCGGTTCTGATCACCTTCCAGTAACTTTTGAAATATCCCAAGAAATAATTTCTAATCCCAACAGCTTTACTTTCAATTACCATAGGGCTGATTGGGAGCAATATCGAACATTTATGGAATATAACTTCGATCCAAACATTCCTTTGCAAACCAAAGATGAAATTAATTATGCTCTTGAATCTCTGACTACTTCTATAGTTGAAGCAAGAGCTGCCTCAGTACCAAAATGCGAGGTTAAATTCGATTCAATTATAATAGACGATGATCTTCAGCTCTTGATCCGTCTTAAAAATGTCCGTAGGAGACAATTTCAAAGAACACGCGATCCTGCCATGAAAGTTATCTGGCGGGATTTGCAAAAACAAATTAAAAAGCGATTCTCTGCCCTGAGGAACAAAACTTTTGAAAATAATGTTTCTAAATTAGACCCGAGTTCCAAACCCTTTTGGAAACTCACAAAAATTTTGAAAAAACCTCAAAAGCCAATTCCAGCGCTTAAAGAAGGTGGTAAAATTTTGATCACAAATTTGGAAAAAGCTCAGAAACTTGCTAAGCAATTCGAGAGTTCCCATAATTTCAGTTTGGGTCTTACTAGTCCTATTGAGAATCAGGTTGCTCGGGATTTTCGGAATATTTTCTCTCGGGAAAATATTTTTGATGATTCCTGGGGGACTGATTTGGACGAAGTAAGGTCTATAACTAAAAAAATTCAAAATATGAAAGCTCCAGGTGATGATGGAATTTTCTATATCCTCATCAAAAAACTCCCAGAGAGTACCTTGTCTTTCCTGGTAAAATTATTTAACAGATGTTTCCATTTGGCATACTTTCCTGATAAATGGAAAAATGCAAAAGTTGTTCCAATTTTGAAGCCGGATAAAAATCCAGCTGAAGCTTCTAGCTACCGTCCAATAAGTTTGCTTTC